CCTACACACAACAGCAGCGGTTTAAAATAACACTGAGACCTCTCTTTATCAGGAATGCTGAGTGGGTCATTCAGCTCTGAGTGCACGACCGATACTCCCACACACTGAATTCATGCTCAGCCAAGCCGCTTTCTCTTTGTGTGTGTGTGGGAGTATTAAGGGTGTTCCACATTATTAGTGTTGCCGACTATATTGTTCCACGATGCTTTGTGTGAAAATATGAAATGAAAACTCCCTCTCGCTCTGCCCTCTATTTCACCGCAAACCAGCTGTCATGACTTCCTTCCTCTCCTCCTATCGCTTACTCTCTTTATTCTCCCTTTATTCTTCAGCCCTTAATCACTTCCCTTTCTGTGCTGCCTTTTTCTATAAACTGACAAATATCACTCCCTCATTGCTCTTAGAAGGGCTTACAAAATTGTTGGCTCTTTGCCCGCGGACAGCCCCAGACAAACACTCACATACACTCTTTGTCGGGGCGCTATTTAAAGAGTCATTGTGCTCATGAAGATAAGCCTCAGCAGCCTGAGCGCCACAAAGCTGCTGATAAGGTAACCTTTCTCTAAACTGTAGAAATGTAAAGAGAAAAACATCCAAATGGAGGCAGCAACTGCATGTGGGTGTCTGGTAGGGCTGCTCAATTAAATCCTATTTTAATTGCAATTACGATTTTGGCTTGCAACGATTATGAAAACAACATAATCGAAATAAAACGATTATTCTTTTTTTTTAATTATTATTATTATTATTATTTAAAAAAATTTTTTTTATCTTTTTAATTATTTTTTCCAATTCAATTATACTTAAAGTTCAGGATAATCAACTGTTAAAAACATACTACGCCTTTTATTTTTAAATACATTTTTCAAAGTAAATGGATAATTGTTTTTAATAATCGGGATATCAATTATTCACCCGAATAATCGAGATTATGATTTTTGCCATAATCGAGCAGCCCTACTGTCTGGGTTCTAAATCATGAAAAACATTCAGAGTATGAATCCTGTATAAAGTATAACAGCTTTATCTACTTCCCTTAAGCTGCAGCGACTTCGGAAAAGTCAATGTCAGTTGAAGATCTACTACAGTACATTACTGTTTCACTATTCATTACTGGGAGAGTAGATCGAGGTGAGGTTCAAAATAGCAACGTTTTCCCCCACACTGTCAGAAAACTGCATGCTGGTACGGTGGATGTGATGGAGGAGGCAGTGAGAGCACAAAGATGAACGATAAGCCCCACACCAGATAAGCCAAAAGATTCATATTGCGATGATGGGGTGGTGAGAGAATGAGGGGAAGAAGACACTGGGGGGATTAATACAAAACACTAAAAGAAAACACAACCAGCCAAAGGGACATGTTGCCCTCAAAAAACATGCATCAAAAACCAACAGAGGAATATACACAGCCGCTGTATATTCTGTCGTGTTTGGACCCAAAAAAGCCACACCACCAACAACAGGGATATTAACGAGGGAGGGCACGACAGAGAGGGGAGAATACCTATTTATGGGATGGCTGTCACTGGGCGACGCGACACACTCACAAGGAGAGAGGGACGTCCCAGTCGGAGCAGCCAACCAATGGGAACAAGAAGAGGACTCAGTGAATAAGGGGAGGAGGGGGGGGAGGTCGTTGAAGCTTAAAGGTCAATTTGGTAGTCGATGTGTGCAGCGTTCACACACCGTCATAAAATACCCACTCCATCATTGTTTGGGGTCCTGCTGACGTGGGTTACAGACCTGGTTTAGCAGCATTCATTTGAGGAGTTTGTTTGATGACTTGGTGGCGTTTATGATGTTATCACTCAAGTAGAATGGGTTACTTTCCTGTGGTGGAAATGTTGGTTTTGGTTCAGCTCCATTTCAGATTATTTGAGACATTAAGGATTGAATCAACACCAGGATGTTTAATTGCCCTCTCTGATTGGTAGTCGTATGCCTGTTGTTACCGCTAAAAGCACCCAACATTACCTATAGTTACTTTGGTGTTGTCAAAAGGTGTAATTTCCCTTTGTACTGACCATACGCTGGAGTAAACTTCTACATCACTGCTGCACTGTGAGAAGTCAAACCAGTGGAGGTCACACAAAACAAAAACATTTACGCTGCTCTTATAACAGTAAGGAAAGAATAACATTGAGATACATTCCAATTTGCAACAGCCGTCATTTGCAGTTTCCAGGCCATGAATATTGCTCAATGCATATTTTTCATTTTTGCTATTTTTTATCATTTCAGCTCAATGAGAAAATTTGAATTATGTTAATTCTTCCTCTTCATTTCCTGTCAATGCCTTAAGGCTTAAGATGTCTCAAAACCTCATATTGTAGAAAATATAATGATGCTAATTGAGAACTAATTTGTTACCTCTGTGACATAGCTTCTTTTTTTCAAAGTTGCTCATGTGAAAGACAAGCAATTTCACCATTTAATGACATTTAATGACATTTAATGAACTGTGAAAATCATAATTTCCTTCTTCCAATCGTGGAGAAACTGTGAACAATATTTTTGACTTATACCAGGAAGTATACAAAGTCTACAATCCAGGTTATAATATTCTTCCTACTGCCCAATGGGATTGTAGCATACACCAGTTGGTTGCCTACTATTGGTTTTACTTCAGCCTTAAGTCAAGAGTAGATATCCGGATTCAGTACACAACTTTAATATGGTACAAATGAGGGTAGAAATCATGTTATGGCACTGTGAGGTCCACCAGGATAATCTCCTTGTCTTGGGGTTCACAACAAAACCACCTGATGTTGAGAGAGATCGGAGACATCTGGAAAATGCAGCTTCTCTCCAGTGTAATTCTTTCTCTGCTAAGACCTTGCAATTTGCTTGAACTTTAGGACGTACCTAGATAGGTCTCACTTGCTGCTTTATCTAACTCTAAGGCCAATCTAATCCACTATCAGCTTAAACCTGCAAGGCAGTGTCATGGTGCCATCTATACCATTCTGGTTTGAGAGCTTTTTATCCCCTTTGCTTCCCCAAAGCATGTTGGTGAGGGAAGAGTGTAACAGAGTAGGAATGAGATGCAGAAAGGTCATGAACTCTAAAACTCTTATCATGTTACTTTGTTTTTGAGTAGCTCCCAATAAGTGCAATAACAGCGTGCTTGATTTAACTGGATCGCCCTGATTCCTCCTTTAGGTTCCTCACTTCCTCCTGGTCCTGGATAATGGTGAACCTGCCCCGTGTTTGAAGCCTTCGCCCTGCTTAAAACGCATCGAGCCAAGGCCTTCCCTTCCAGAGCAGTGAATACCGTTGATGTCGCACGGCTTCAGAGAGCTCGTTGCCTTGTTTATGGCTGAATGTCCGGCCTGATCCTGTACTAACTCCAGCTTGGCACACATATTGACTCTTGAAGTCTCTGAATGTTGCCACAGCTCTACAATTTGCCACCTTAAGTTATTCTTCCCACAATGATAAAAGGGATTTCTAGCTTGGGTTCATATCTGATTATGTCCGTTTGATTTCTGTCTCTAAGTGCATTGAAAGACACCTACCTTGTTCTCTCTACAGTGAGTATATTGAGTATGATGTTTACATATTGTAATACTCAAGCACTAGGTCAACATACTTATCCAAAGACCTTTAAGCAGAGGGTTGTGGATCTGTGTGTTGCTGAAGGACAGCTCATAAAACATGGCCGCCGCTGCTGTAAAACCTGACCTTTTAGACAAAGGGCTTTTCTTTAACAACACGGAAACATGCCCTTCATTTAATATACAATATTTAAAGTCAATGTTAACTCACTGATGACAAATGACTTTGTCTGTTGCACCTATAAAACCATGTGTATATTTACATACACATTGAATCTGTGAGTAAAGAGGAAGCCTGTTTGTGATGTAAACACTCAGTAGGTGTTGTGCATTACGCCTCTTAACTTCCCACATGTCGGGAAGGACTCAAACAGACTTGAGCCTCGGGCTACGGAGAAGCTTCATTCCAGACGAGCTTTCCGTCTCAATAAAGCCACTGACAGACATTTGGCGGTAATAGACTTCAACACAACAGGTGCTGAGTGCTGCTCAAAGCTGAGGGGCGGCTGGTAGGCAGCGTTATGTCGGAAGAGATTTATCTATTTAACGAGCATTCAAAAATCATTCGAGAGGTTTTCCTAATTTTAGGCAGGGCTGTAAAAGCAATGATATAAAAATCTATTTTATAGCAATTGTACATGCTTGTTTACTGCTTACAACCTCAATGACATGCAGTCATAGCTGTGAGACACTTTTCTAATAGGCTTCAAAAACATGTGTTCAATGGCACACCATGAAATATTTGTTTAAAAAAAAGGGAATAGTTGCGTGCCTATAAACCTGCTGGTCCACACACAGTGAATCAACAGGTGTTATGGTAGCATTAAGTTGTAAAGAGGAAGCAGGTTTTCTATTGGAAGGTAACATCTAATATTACTAATAATTATCCACATCAAGAGCGCTTTAAATAGCAGTAGTGATACAGTTTTAGCATATGTGCCAAGAGTACAAACAAAAACGTAGTATTTAAAATGTTTCCAAAGTCCTTTGAAGTTGGATTTAATTGATGCTTCATGTTCCACAACGTAAACAGTACAATGCGACTTTGAAGTGTGCAGCTAGCCTCGCATGCTTTGCATTGTTTCCATGTGTAGAAGAATCCTGTTAGTGTTTCGATCACTTTGGATACACATGTCGTGGGTGAAATAAGCTTTTACAGCAACTGTCTTATTGTGAGTTTAAAAGAAACAGTTCTAATTTTATTTTTTCATTTTAAGATTACAGGGTTTGTTGATCGAATGATTTCTCCTGACGTAATGAAAATCAATCTTCGTTGCATTTCTTCTACATAGGGAATCGTTCCTTGACTGTTTTTGTTTTACACCCACAAGCGGAAACATAGGTGGCTACACACACTGCAAACGAAAAAACAACAACGCCAGAGAAAGAGATTTAAAGATGTTAGTCAGCACGAACAACTCTGTAGGAAAAAGATTGGCGTACCTTGAAGGCATACTTGCGGCTGATGTGGTCCTCAGCTCCCACGGGTGAAATGACATAGCTGGGCAGAGGAATACTGCCGAGCACCGACTCCTCTCTGCTGTCTGGAGAGAGAGAGAGGGGGAGAGAGAGAGAGAGGGAGGGAGTAACGGGGGAGAAAGAGGGAGAAGATATCCAGGGTGAGGAAGGTGAGACAAGGAGCGAGAGAGATATGGAGGAAAGGAAAGAGCAAGAGATTAAATATCAGTCATCACCTACTAATTTCATCGCTGCCTGCCATCAGTATCATAACACTCTCATAAACACACCCGCATGCCGTCATTCAAACCGCCGTGTGGTGCCAAAACAGTGAATGACCACAAGTGTTAAAGCAGGTCTGCTCCAACTGGCAGCCGGCCGCCATTCCTCTGCTCCATCCGATTCACATGCTGAGATCATTGTCAACACACACACACACACATATACCTGTCCTTCTGTATTTGTAAGGACCCTCATTGATATAATGCAGTCCTCAACCTTTCACCTTAACCTTTCCCTCAAGAAAAGACTACTAAAAATGTCCTGACCTTCCAAAACATCCTTACTTTAATGGTCACACACACACACACACACACACACACACACACACACACACACACACACACACAGCAGACCACACTGTGCTGTGACAAGTGAAGCTAGATAACAAACAGAATGCGTCACTTTTTGTCCCCTGTTCAAGTTGTTTTCTTAAAGAAGTTGAGTGTGAAGATAGAGGTTTCTGTATACTGTACTGTGCTGTCAAATAGTGTTTTACAAATGATATACAAAGTCCCCCAAGACAGAAAGCCCTACTTAAAAAGTGTTGACCAATGACATGTTTTGTTCAGAGCTTCAACAGAAACGTTCATTATTATTGATTAATCTGCACATTAAATGTAGTGTTTTGTATTTAAAATAATGAAACTACCCATTGTAGTATCCAAATTCTTGTTTTACAGTCCAAAATCCAGATAAAACTGTTATAAAAACTTTGGAAGAGGATTATTTATTTACATTTGAGAGGCTTAAATCCAATCATTTGTGCCTTTATAACTTGAATAATAAGTCAAACTATAACATTGAAATGGTTGCCAACTCATTTTCTGTCCATCGATCCCATCAATTGAAGTTTTAATTGTATACATCAAGTTAAATGTTTTTTCTGCCACGCATCCTGAATTGAATTACTCTTAATGTTTTTCTTTGTCCATATTTATTTGTCTTTAAAAAAAGTATTTCTCGGTTTTAAAATGTCCCCACACGCTACTGCAAATCCCACATTTCCCTAAAAGAATCTATCAAGGACATGACCTCGACAGCCCTGACAGGAGAATTGGCTGTTTGTGTAAAAAGAAGCGTTTATGTAGAGAGCAGAAACCTTTGAACTGAGAGAGAAGGGAACAACACGGGATTGATTTGATCCTCTGAGGCATGAATAAGGAGGAGCGTCCCCTGGTTCTGTTGAGAGACTTTAGAGGAAACAGAAAGGCGTGGAGCAATAGATAAAGACTGCTGTTGATGGAGTGTGTGATGGAGAGTGTGTCCGTTTCTCTGCATGTGTTTGAGTTGCAGCACGCTGAGAGATCAGTTTAAAGCCAGAGCAGATTCAGTCTCTGGTGCTTTTGTCAGCAGCAGTTCACTTCAAATCCAGTACCATCAAAATGCAATTCAAGCATTTGAACTCTGTCCAAACGCTTTTTTGTTGAAAGCTGTCAGATTTACTGTATATCTTATTCTTCAAAGACTCTTATTTTTTCACTGGTCTGTATTTTCACATTTTTCCATTTAAACCAAGAAAGATGAGAACATATATAAATATATCTATGTCTAATGTTCGACAAAATAACCTTTTAAAAGAAGATATTTTTCTAAGACTCTACATTTGTTTAGCTAAGTCTTAAAGGTGGGATAGGTAAGTTTGAGAAACCGGCTCGAGATACACTTGTTGTTATATTCCATGGAATGCTCTTAACATCCCGATAGCAATTAATATCTGAAGTGGTGTGACAAAAAATCCATAACAAAAATGTATCTGTGGAAGCCGTGGCGCTGTAAAAAGTACGACCAATCATCTGAGCCGGCCCGGCTAAAGTAACTGGATGGCCTACCTGCCTGTCAGCCTTCCATCTGTGCACAAACTTATCTCGTGCCCTCATTGGTCATGTGCGCATTCGTGTGTGTTGGAGGAGGGGCTCTGTAAGGAAGTGGCAGATTTTTTCCGGCTGTGTATTTTCAAATTCTAGCGCACTCGAGCTGGTTTCTCCAACATTACCTACCCTACCTTTGAATAGATAATATGACACCAGTGAGACACCGGCAGAATACAATATAACACTGTGTTAATTTAAAGAGGACTTATTTTTGCTAATTAGTATGTAGTGTCTCTACTTTAAAGAGTCCTCTCCTGCTGATGTTCAGGTGTATATCAGTATGTAGTGTCTCTACTTTAAAGAGTCCTCTCCTGCTGATGTTCAGGTGTATATCAGTATGTAGTGTCTCTACTGGGACATGTCTCCATGCTTTAATGTTCAAAAAGCTCTTTATTGTTCTCATACTGCCTGTGCTGCAGCACCTCTGTTCACCCTCTGTCTGAAACCAGAGCCCAGTCTGCTCTGATTGGTTAACTGGCCGGCTCTGTTGTGATTGGTCAACCGCTTAGAGATGTCCCGCCCCTTATCCTATCACGTACAATGTGTTGGAGCGCTAGCCAATAGAAACCTGAGTGTTACATTTCAAGTAGATTTTTGTTATTTCATCCTTTCCTATGATCTTTGAAGAGTGTAAAAAAAACCAAGGAGGCAGGGTGTTGGAACAAACTGTTACTTCAACCATTTTCTCCAGGGTCCAAGCGACATTACACCGAAAAACCTCCTTAAAAATATTTACCTTTGTAATAGAACAGACAGAAATCAGCCAAGACGAACCACTTCCTCTTCCAGAGACGCATCCCAGAGCTGTCCTGCAGAGAGAGAAAAGGGAATAAAGAGTGTGAGTTATTAATGAATGAATAATGAGATAAAGTGGACGAGATAACAAGAAAGAGTAGACAGACATCTTAAATACAGACAGGGGTTTAATGAGAAGGGAGAGTTAGAGACAGAGAAGAGTAGTGAGGGACAGAGGACACATAAGGAGTAATGAAAGGAAAAGTGAGGTGGATATGAGCGAGGTAAAGAGAGGGATCATTTGTCCTCGTTGTGCGGCTCGCTGGGTCTGACACGGCTACTTTACTGCCTGCTTTGTCTTTCATGTTGCCTCGCCCGGCTGAAAATGCTTCTGTTTGAAGAGGAAGGCAGATCCAGAAGGGAGGAAATGTACACAAACACATGCTGTCTGTCTGTCTGTCTGTGTGTGTGTGTGTGTGTCTGTCTCTGTGTGTGTGTCTCTGTCTGTCTGTCTGTCTGTCTGTCTGTCTGTCTGTCTGTCTCTGTCTGTGTGTGTGTGTGTTCTGTCTGTGTGTGTGTGTGTGTGTGTGTGTGTGTCTGTCTGTCTGTGTGTCTGTCTGTCTGTCTGTCTGTCTGTCTGTCTGTCTGTCTGTCTGTCTGTCTGTCTGTCTGTCTGTCTGTCTGTCTGTCTGTCTGTCTGTCTGTCTGTCTCTTGGTCTGTCTCGTCTGTACTGTCTGTCTGTCTGTCTGTCTGTCTGTGTGTCTGTCTGTCTGTCTGTCTGTCTGTCTGTCTGTCTGTCTGTCTGTCTGTCTGTCTGTCTGTCTGTCTGTGATAACAGGCATTATGCAAGAAGAGATACAAGAGAAAATCAGCTTCTTTTTTTTGTTCGTACACATGATTTGTTCTTATTTTGTTAGTACCCATTGATTTATGGGATTCACTTAAGTTTTGTTATATTTGATCTAATTTTAGCTGAGGACAACATGTAGTTCTGGATAAGAGCACTCTTACCAAAATGAGAAAAACACATTATGGTTTTGCAGTCCACAAATTGTTCATCCAACGCAAGAAAAATAAATATATATATAAAAGTTTTCAATTTGAATAATGTACAAAACTGCATCAATACCATATATTTTAATTGTAATTATATGTTTTAATGTAATAAAAATGATTGGATTATAACATTGGTGGGCTACAGAATACTAATAGTTTATTGATCCTATTTAGTGCAATAAAAAGGGGGTCTTATATAAAACTAAACTTTAGCTTCTGTATAACTTCCAGAGTGTTTTGTATGCTCCTGTAACATTAGTACTGCGCTTACTACGAGTTTAGGGGGCGTTAACTATCTAAAAATAAACAACCAGCCACAAGTCTCAAACTGATCATTAAAGAGGCTCATGTTGAGATCCATATCAGTATTTAGTGTCTCTACTGTGACATGTCTCCATGCTTTAATGTTCAAAAAGCTCTTTATTTGTCTCATACTGCCTGTGAACCCCCTCTGGAGGGAAAACTGGGATTTTAGCCTTTGCAGACCATTTACATGCATAAAGAACTACTGTATATAACACACTACAGGCAAGGAAAAAACCCCTTTCAGAAAAAAAGTTGCTGCCTGAGGGGCATGCAAATAAATGCATATATTTATGTGGATGTGCGTGTGTTCCTGACAGCATGTAAAAGTGTTTTTTAATTAAAGTATAATTGCGCTGCACATACTGTGTGTGTGTGTGTGTGTGTGTGTGTGTGTGTGTGTGTGTGTGTGTGTTCATTAAAGTATAATGTCTTCACAGTGACATCACTCACTGTGTATCTTGTACTGAAGCCAAATGTTTTCCAGTGGGACGATGCCAACGACAGATATTTTAAGTAACTCCAAATACTCAGAGTGTGCAGTAATAGCCTGTCTGTGATCAACAGCAGGCGCTCTGTACTGCCAACGTAAAATACATAAATCAAGAACATATTAAAGTAGGCCACTGGAGGAAGATTTAAGGAGCTGGAACTCATCCATATCGTGTTTTAAAGAGACACGGGCAACTCAACACCAAATGAACTCATAAACCGCAACTATTTGGTCAATTAACCATTTAGAGTCATTGTTCACTGGTTCCTTCAAATGTGAAAATGTATCTGTTGTATGTCACTGTAAACTAAAGGTCTTGGACAAAAAACAACATTTAAAGGTGTTACCCAGGGCTTTCGGGAGATGAGACAGGGATCTTTCTCTGTCTTTTGTAATTATAAAGTGTTATAATCGATTTATTTATTTATTTGTAGATATAAAAACAGTTGTGCAATATCACAAAAACACCAATCTACCTTTAAAAATGTTGTCTGTTTGTGTGTATGCAAGAATGTTTCCCAGTCAGTCAGTCAGTCAGTCAGTCAGTCAGTCAGTCAGTCAGTCAGTCAGTCAGTCAGTCAGTCAGTCAGTCAGTCAGTCAGTCAGTGTGTGTGTGTGTGTGTGTGTGTGTGTGTGTGTGTGTGTGTGTGTCCTGACCTGTTTGTAGAGCCATCCTCGGACCACCACGGGGACGTTGGGATTTCTTTTGATGGCCTGCTCTCTCTTCCCAAAGCTGTGCACCCTGCCACTGGACCGGGAGCCCTGAAACACAACAACAGGTGGAGAGGCTTTCATAAGATGTGAGCAGCCATGGCCGCTATCATCGCACAATTTCATCTAATAATAATTGTGCTTCTTATCAATCAGCTCTGTGTTTGTATCCTGCTAGCGTGTTAATTATTCAGCTAACTAAACATTACATTGAACACATCTAATTGCTAAGTGGCATAGCTGTGTGGCTCGTTACCATTCGTTTTTTCAGAGCTTGGTTGATTAAACATTTAACAAGAAAATGTATTCTCTGTAGCAGAACTATCATTAAATAATACTGGGACCAAAAAATAAGACATTCTTTTGTCTTTTCAGGATTTTTTTGTAAAGAAATGACATACACGTGAGGAGGTACAGGTAGGTAAAGGTTAACAATATATAAATGTTGAAAAAGTCAGATTAATTTAAGAGGATATGTGGATAATTAGCGCTGCAGTAAATTACATTTGGGAACAGTCCGTCTGAGCCTCATCTGTGCCTCATTCAGTCGGACTAAGCCCTCACTGAATGGACCCTCACACACGCACACTATCATTATCTTTTCTCTCTCCTACCTTTTTTCTGCCCCAGTTGTTACATAATTATAGCCATTATTTGAGTACAGCCAATTTTCCACTGCCAGCAATGGTTGCCTTGACGTTTGCCAGACATTGACAAAGTCTGGTCATCAGGTAGGAGGTTAGAAGAGGTGGAATTGTGACTCACAGTTCAATGGTTTGAGTGCCACACAGCCAGACACCTGCCTCAGAGTCTGGGCAGTTTACCTGAACGACTACAATCAAAAAGAGTGAGGCGATAACTCCAAATTATTTCAGAGTACCGAGCAGCGACCAGTTATGAAGGTCTTAGTGTGTTCGTTGAAAGCTCGGCATTGGAGAGGCAACTTGTTCTGGATAAATAAAGTCAAGAGTTGAGACGGAAAAAGGGGAAATAGCGAGTAAATGTTGTCTCCTTTAGATTCAGCTCATCTAAAGGAGATATTTTGTCACTGCAAAATTAAAGCTTATGGTGTTTTAAATCAGTATACTCAAGGTTGTTATCCAATGGCAGGACTAGTTCTAGAAGAAATATATAAAGTACATAAAAGGACATTTTATTAGCATTTTTAAGTTCATATCTGTATTTTCTGCCTCTACTGTGACATGTTTACATACTCAAAAAGCTCTTAATTATTCTCATACTGCCTGTGCTGCAGCACCTCTTTTCACCCTCTGTCTGAAACCAGACTTGGGGATTTTAGCTTTTGACGACCATTTACATGCACACAAACCTACATGACACACTACAGGACAGGGGAAACTGTGAATACCACTTAACATTCATAATAACTATAGTACAGTTCCTTTTTTGGACTATGGTAGAGTTTATTACTAACATAAGTTTAGGTTTAAAAAGTGTCTCCCCAACACATACTGTAGTTGTCAAGATATTGATCCACCGCTTAAAAGTAATTGTACCATAGTCCCATAATGAGCTGAACTATTGTTACAATTACTTTTAAGGGGTTTTGCATATTTGTTAAATACCGTTTAAACACAAAAACACCTATCTTGTGCCGAGCAAACATTGGGTGAGAGCCGGGCTGGATTAGAGTACTTGGTTGGCTCCGAGCAAAAATGCCAATTAGGCCCCAGTTTTCCAAGTCTGTGAATTGTGTAAAACTTGTGGATGTGTAAAGCACATTTCAATTTAATGAATTCACCACATTAGCGAAATATAAACTGAAGTAATGATGCCGTATAAAAGAAAAATAAGGATTTGACTCATGCTTATGGACTAGGAAACGCACAGCAATAACAGAAGGCTCAGCAGAACATTTGTCTTCCCAATCAGCATGAATAATAGTGAGAGATAAATATGTTAGATAACCTGCCCAGCTGAGGGGTTTAAACAGTGTGAAGCATTTACTGTTCCAGCACATTGAGCTATAATTCTGCCACTTAAATAAATGTACAACATGTGAGGCACCGACATCAAATCATCTTTCTGTATGCACATTAAAGACATTTATATTGCCACTCAGAAAACCATGACATTCCTGTGCATTGTTATTGTGTGTGTTTGTGTGTACAGACAGGAAACACACTATTCATGAAATCTCATTACACCATCCACACACACACACACACACACACACACACACACACACACACACACACACACACACACACACACACACACACACACACACACACACACACACACACACACACCTTCTTCTGGTTGCATTCAGGAGCATCATGTAAGTCTTTGGTGAGTTTCTCAACGAGCCTTGTGTCCATAAAATAAAAAAACCTCCGAACATTCTGCGTCTGCTTCTCTCTGGACGAGTGTGTGTGTGTGTGTGTGTGTGTGTGTGTGTGTGTGTGTGTGTGTGTGTGTGAATGTGTCCTCATCCCTGCAGGTCAAAGGTCCGGAGGCAGTGACTGGAGCAACAATAAGCCACAAAACTCACCGTCGTCCTGCGGAGGAGAGAAGGGAGAATAAATAAGGGTTATTTTAAACAATACATTCGTTTAAGTTATATTTTAGATTCTAAAAGTACGTTTCAAATGTAAAATAACTCAAACGTTATTAGATATGGGTGTTTTGTTTGAAGCTGAAGAACCAATTTGTTCATGTTTTTTGTAATTGCAGGTGTTGGCTATATCAGACATTATTTATCCATATGTTTTTATAGCAATATATTTATACAATTATACAGATTTACCTTTTTAGTTTCAGATATCCTGTTCTTCACAAGTCAATATTTACCCACTATATTTTGTGAAGTTATCTTTAAAATGTAATGGATTCTGATGTTTATTCTTGAAATAAGGAAATAACCTGCCTTTATTTGGGTTTGAACTAAAATAAGGTGCGTTTGATCTGTGAAGGTGAGTTTGATCTGTGAAGGTGAGTCATGTCTATAGAGGTGCGTTTGATCTGTGAAGGTGAGTCATGTCTATAGAGGTGCGTTTGATCTGTGAAGGTGAGTCATGTCTATAGAGGTGCGTTTGATCTGTGAAGGTGAGTCATGTCTATAGAGGTGCGTTTGTTCTGACCTGCGGTGCACCCCTGCCAGCGCGGTGTCCCTCAGAGGGAACAGCTTGGGGAAGATGGTGGTGAACATGGTCTGACTGCAGCGGTGACAGTGACCCAGAGGGAAGTGGAGCAGCTGGAGGAGACTCTGGGGCAGACAGAGGGGTGGG